TGCCAAATTGGTCTGCCTCTCCTCATATTATTGGCTCCAATTTTAAACCTGTTTCTCTCTTTCTCTCTGTTGCTGCATGAGAAATCTGCTGAAACAGCATGGGATCAGTTTCAGGGGAGACTCATTCAATAGTGTCGCCACTGACTTCATCATTGACTTAAAGAGATTAATGGCCCCAACCAGCAGTCAACCAGCCATCTCTGAAGAACCTCTTGGAAAAAGATGTAGGTGGTAATCCTGCAGTCCAATGGTCCCTTTGAGGGTGTTTTGGGGGCTATAAGGACCACCAGTTCTCTGTCTCTGGGGATGGAAAGAGAGATCTGACCTCAAAGATGGAAATCTGATGCCAGATTCCTTCTCCTTACCACAGCTGAAACATCCAATGACTGCCCTACCAATGTCAAAGCTCTAAGATTGGCAGGCTGAAAGAGGAGGGGTGCCAGGAGAAAACCTGGACTCAAATAATCCTAAGAACAAAAGAAGAGCACAGCTGGATCAGGCCAAAGGCTCATCCAGCCCAGCATGTTGTTCTCAGTGGCCAACTACATGCTTAGGGAAGCCGACAAGGAGGGCTGGACTTGTGATTGCCGGCAAATGGCATACAGAGCCATCCTGTCTCCCAACAGTGGAGGTAGAACCTATACTTCATGGCTGGTACCCACAGGTATGGCCTCCTCCATCATTTTGTCCAGTCCTCTTTTAGAGCCATCCACGTTGGTGGACATCCCAGCCCCCTACGGGAATGAATTTCATAGTTTAGCTGCGTGCTGTGTAAAGAAGTACTTTCTTTTATTTGTCCTTGTTCAGTTTTAAGATAGATATCCAAAACAACTTGCTGCTTCCGAAGGAAAACTAAGTTTTCTTATTGCTTTAGCTATTACAAAACAAATGAAACACAGCACTTAACAAAAAACAAAAAAACCCAAACCATTTCTTCCACAGCACAAGCTTTTCTTAAAATAGCTGTACATTTAAAGCAATTTAAAATTCACACTTCCTTCTGAACATTTCGTTAGCTACAATTTTTGTCTCTCAGGTGCTCCCAAGAGCACTTGGAAACGTTCTCTCCTGCTGTTGCAACTGATCCCATGCTGTTTCAGTAGATTTCTCATGCAGCAGCAGAGAAAGAGAGAGAGGGGGGAAAAACAGGTTTAAAATTGGAGCCAATAATATGAGGAGAGGCAGACCAATTTGGCAGGTAGGCTGTGACTGTTTCACACCTAATCTGAAACTAGCCACCTTCCCAGGACGCCTCTTTTAAAAATGGAACACATAAAGTATAAAAAGAAATGAAGACTAAAACAGCAACAGATATCTTCAGAAGCAAGCCCTTCTGAGTTGAATGATGAACAAATCTGCCCTGCAGATGATCTAACTGTAGTGTCCTCAGTGGTATTGAGTTCTAGGTGGCTTGGCTGTTTGAAATGGGTGTGTTTCGTCCTCATTTCTAAAGTTGCTTTTGCAAAGATGAAGAGGCAACAATCTGAAGTAAATCAAGAGGCCATCTGCACTCTGGGCAGCTCCCAACAGAATATTAAAAACACAATAAAACATCATATATTAAAAACTTCCCAATACAGGGCTGCCTTTAGATGTCTTCTAAAAGTCAGATACTGTAATTGTTTATTTCCTTGACATCTGATGGGATGGTGTTCCACAGAGCGGGAGCCACTACCGAGAAGGCCCTCTGCCTGGTTCCCTGTAACCCCACTTTTCACAGTGAGGGAACCGCCAGAAGGCTCTTGGAGCTGGACTTCAGTGTCCAGGTTGAACAATGGGGGTGGAGATGCTCCTTCAGGTATACTGGGCCGAGGCCATTTAGGGCTTTAAAGGTCAGAACCAACACTTTGATTTGTGTTTGGAGCCAATGTAGATCTTTCAGGACCAGTGTTATATGTTCTTGGTGGCCACACCCAGTCACCAGTCTAACTGCCACATTCTGTGGAATAATTGTAGTTTGACCAACAAATGACATGAAAGGAAATGTTAGGGCAGATCTATACCATACACAGCAGGGACGCAGGTGGCACTGTGGTCTAAACCACAGAGCCTAGGGCTTACTGATCAGAAGGTCAGCGGTTTGAATCCCTGTGACAGGGTGAGCTCCCGTTGCTTGGTCCCAGCTCCTGCCAACCTAGCAGTTCGAAAGCACGTCAAAGTGCAAGCAGATAAATAGGTACCGCTCCGGCGGGAAGGTAAACGGCGTTTCTGTGTGCTGCTCTGGTTCACCAGAAGCGGCTTAGTCATGCTGGCCACATGACCCGGAAGCTGTTACGCCTGCTCCCTCGGCCAGTAAAGCGAGATGAGCGCCGCAATCCCAGAGTCGGCCATGACTGGACCTAATGGTCAGGGGTCCCTTTACCTTTACTTTATACCATACTCTTAAATAACACCCAGTGTGCATTTAAAGCACAAAACTTGACACACATACACACACACACACACACACACACACACACACGAACACACATCTGGAAACTGTAGTTTGTTAAGGATACAATTCTGTGAGGAGGAAATGAAATGACAGTTCCCCTGATTCTTTGGTGTAAGTCAACTGTTTCAACTGTGCAATGGATGTACTTTAAATGCATGGTGGAAATCTCCCTTTGACTGACTATTAGGAAGAACTTCCTGGCAAAGATTGTTTGACCATAGAAAAGGCTGCTTTGGAAAGTGGTTGGCTGTCCTTCATAACGGGTTCAAGAGCATCGGCCAGCAGTTGGACTATATAACCTTTAAAGTTTCTTCCAACTGTATGATTCCACATCTTGTTCAACTCATGGGTACAAATGCTAGGACCTTAGACACCACCAGCACTAGGCACTCCTTTCCCCCTTCAGTCATGTATGGTATAGATCTGCCCTAATAATAATTTTGCTCCATTATCTGGGTAACTGCCCTTCTCAAATTTGAAGATGACTATCATAGCACTTTTGAATCATCTCTTGTCTAGGCTAAATATGCCAACTCGTTCAACTTCTCCTCATAGGACTTGATTGCCAAGCTCTTCCCAAATTTTGGCACCCACCTCCAAATATGTTCGAGTTTGTTCAAATCTTTTAAAAACAGTAGTACTCAGAACAGGGCACAAAGGTATTGTGCATTACAACAGTGTCGTTCCCCTCTTAAGTCAATAAATATCACATCTCACTTAGCCATGAAGTACCTGAGAATTCATTCTGGCAGGCACACTGTCTTTAAGGAGATGTTCACTTCTGATTTGGTGGTGGCAAATCAAGACCGCTTTCAATTTTATGACACCATATCATTGCTCTGTTACACTGAGAGGGCATGAAGGCCTTTCCAGGTGAATTCTCCTGCTCCTCAGGTATGAAACTGTGGTGGTTAGTATAAGTGCCATTATTCTTCAGAAGCTGTGCTTTCTGATGGGCAATACTGAGATTCTGGGATGTTACATTTTCTACTCCTGATACTACAGTTATTGCAGATGAAGTGCTGTGTTGACATAGTTTGTGATAGTTCGATAGGCAGTGTTTATTTTTTTGGGGGGGGAATGCAGGGGTACGCATACCCCTAAACAATTTGTGAATCTAAGTTTGGCCTCATTGAGGGGCAGTATTTCAATATGAGAAGGAAAATGAGAGTACCCCTAAATGTGTTGTTTTTTTTAGGAAAAAAAAGCACTGTCGATAGGCACCTATTAGTTGATGCCCGTGGTAGTTCTATCTAGCTTACACTGGCATGTTTTTATAGGTGCTGGAAGCCACACAGAATGGCTGGGGAAACCCAGCCAGATGGGTGGGGAACAACAACAACAACCCCACTTCACTTTCCTCTTTTGATGTTTGTATTCTCTTCTTTTATAATTTGAATTTATAGCTTTCATGTCACCTTTTCCTGAACTTTTTCCTGACTATTGCCTTATCCAGCCTATTTTTATTTATTTATTACAAGGTGATTTGGTGTCTACTTCCTCTTTCAGTGGTAGGGATTAAACCTAATAAAGCAGTCATTGGGGGGGGGGGAAGGCTTTTATAAGGTCTGGAAATGCCCTAAATTTAAAATGTGAATAGGGATTTTTCAAAGCACGCAGCAGCTTCTGATCTTTGCTGGAGGTTGTAGGCTTTCGGTTTGTTTGAAAATTCCAGCTTTCAAAAGGGCACCAGTTAACAGTTCTGAGATTACAGAACCGATAGCTCATTCACAATGCCCCAGTTTTCAAACAAAGGCTTTATTTAGAGTCTGTTCTCAGCCATTGTATGGCAGAGGAGAAGGCATATGATTAAAATAACATCCCCTTTCTTCATTCTGAGCTGATCTGCCACGGGCAACAGGATGATGGTTCACTAGTGATCCGCACAAGACCAGATCTTCAGTAGGGCAACTACTGCCAAGTGGTTCATGAAAGAAAAAGTGCTTCCAGCTATTTCTAACTATCATGAATTACCTTGGGTTGGGCCAATATGGCGGCTTCTATCTGGGGCAATGGCTTGGGGGCTCTTGTCTACATGTGGGCTCAGGAGACATGCTTGTGATATAGGAGAAGGCACATGAGGTACCCTAGAAAACTAAACATTTTCAGAGATGGCAATCTTATGTTTTCTCAGCTTCTGCTGGACTCCAACTCTCATCAGCCTCAGCCACCACAGTCAATGGTCCAAGCCGATAAGAGTTGTAGTCCTACAACATTTGGAAGCTCACAGGTGAACCACCCCTGCTTTTCTGCTTGTAATAGGATTGATTACCTGCAACATAACTGGCTGAGTGATGAGGAAGAGGAAAGCTCGGGGAATCTTAGCTGGAGATATGAAATGGGCTCTTGAATATGCTGGAATAAAATGCTTCTGGGAAACACACACAGAGTCAGTACTCCTTCTTTATTATTTTCGCAGAGGCCTCGGTATAAGCATGCAACTGGGGCCAATGCAAGTCATCTCCAGCCTACTGCTTAAATATTTCTATTATTGAACAATCTTTTCACATATTTTTCTGCAGCTGCTCTTGAACCACTGAACAGGAACCCATCCATTACTAATGAAGATAATCCTGATGATACCCTCTTGATAGTTTTCTGAAGGTAATCATTCTAATTTGCTAGCAAGTAGAGTCCACCTGACAATTTATGCTGCACAAATATTTCTAATAAGTTGTAAATAATAAAGCGTGTTCTCCCTAACAGAGAGCACGTGTTGCGGTTGGGGGAACAAGCCACCCTGCCGTTACTGGGCAGATTTTGTGAGGAACCCAAGCCTTTAAGTGGTTAAAATTGGGTTGCTGGGGAGTTTTGATTGTTGCCAATTTGGAGGAGGGTCAGAGTCTTTAAATACAGGGGCCAGACGTTGGACGTCCTCTTGGCCATTTGCACCAGATCACCCGCCTCCCTCCCTGTTAATAGGGTGTTTTTTTCTTGATCGCTGACCTTGCTATGCCTGTCATGGGGTCGTCCGCCTTGGAGCGGGGCCTGGTAGGAATTCTGCCATCTGGCTGATTGGCTGGTGCCATTTGGTCTTTGCCTACTGCATAGCAAATCGTCACAACTTGTAAGGTTGGCGGTTAGGCATTGGTTAAATTGGTGTTTGGAGGGTAAGTGCCTATCCCTCCAAATGATGCGGAAAGGAATTCCGTTAAAGGAATCCAGGGCTTGCCATTCTTTTCGTCCTTGTCCCTGGAATCGGACTTGGGCCGTGCAAGCCCCACAGGAACATGAGGGTGAGAAGTGAGGGACTGATACCCAGCTTCATTTTCTCACCCAATACTTGTTTCCCACGCTGGCTTCCGGTCATTACAGTAGCTGTTAAACCAGAATCAAATCAACCCCCTCCCCCAATAAAATACAATGACCCTACAAGACAACTCAAAGACTAGCTTAACAATCAGAGGGCTGAAAGGAAAAGAAGTACCATTAGAACTCTTCCTAAAAGCCTCCAGAGAAGGAGTTCAGTCCTCCTTTGACCGTCACTGGAAAGTAGGGACACTTGGAGGGTACGGAAAGCAGATGGTCTGTCACCGTGCTATGGGGCCTCCTTTATAGTGTCTCCTTCTTTGTGGGACGTACATTTGGCTCCTTTAAACAGGCCTTAAAGACCAGCTTGTTTTAATCTGCTTTTTGCTGGATTTTTTGCTTGTAATTTCAACTGTTGCTGTTATTTTACTGCTGGTTTCAGAGCAAATTTCTTTTCCATGTCATTTATGATGAGTTTTCATTCCGTGTTTCGATACCCACTTTATAGGGATTTGATGTGTGAACTGAGGTCTTTTTACTGTGAAAGGTGGAATGAAATATTTAAGTAAATCTTTTTAAAAAATGCTTTGAAACTGTTTAGGGCTGGTTTCTGAATGCAGAGACACCTAATGACTTGATTTGTGGCCATAGTGAATGCCTCCCTAAGTCCCTTTCACATAGATGGGCACAACTTCAACATCATAGATGGTTAGGAGAAGATTGGTCTGAAAGCCAGTCAGATTTAGGTCAGGTGTGAATTGATAATATGAACTGGCTTCCTTCCAACATGTGGCCTGGAGCTGAAGGAGAGAATCGAGAGACTGGGCAGCTCCTGGGACAATGCTTTGACAAAGTTAGCATGTGCCGGGCCTTCAGTTTCACGCTTGAGTTCATCTCCTCAGCGTAAGTGACTGGAGTCATGACTGCCTTCACCACGCAGTGCATTAATGGGTTGAGACATATCTGGATTTCCTGAATGATGTATGATAGGTGACAAACTGGTGCCCACTGAGGCTTGAGGGAGACCTGGAAGAATATCGTAGCTAGGTGTAAATTAAAAGAAAGTGTCAGTTGTAGACACTTTGAAATAGTTCCAGAATAACAGCTGTCACCATTTCCCCTGGAGGCTCCAATTTCTATGATGTGAGTGCAAAGTGTTTCCTCGCTAGTTCGTAAGTTCTAAATGCTGACACAACTGAAATTCAGTCACTAAACACCAGGATTTCAGCTTCCAGAGAAGCTATTCCATTCTCCCCTGCTTATAATTGAGCTTTAGACAATAAGCACAGAGGTAAGCTTCCTAATTAGAAGCGATTGCTAGTTTTGAAATCATCTAAAGATGAGAGAACTGCCCTTTTATATAAGACATGCTTGCTATATAATGTTATTGGTTTGAAAGGCTGGTATATTAGTGGTGACTAAGACCTAATTTAAATGGGATGCTCACTGAAATGAGTGACGGGCAATGCATAGACCTATGCAAGCATTACAGCTGGCTGACACCTCATTTCAATGCCAGTGTGCCAGTCTGTAAACTTGCAGTGCCAGACCCTCCAAATGTCTATTTTCCAGGGATGTGCCTGATTTAGTGAAGCTGTTCCAGTTTCTGATTTGATCCCCGAAAGTCCTGCTTTTCCTTAGGACGTCCCTATTTTAATTGGAGAAATGTTGGAGTCAACCGACCCCCAAGCCGTCTGAAGGCAATCCTGTACAGTAGCTCTTCAGCTTACGTAACTCTCTGGTTATGTAAACTTCACGTTACAAAAGTGGCAAACCTGGAAGTATTGGACTGGGTTTTGTCATGCACGCATGTACAGAAGCGGTCTACCACCACGCACATGTACAGAACAGTGATCCTCGGGTTGTGGACCTCCGGAACGGATCCCATTTGCAACCAGAAGTACCACTGTATATGGAAGTTTTTTAAAAATGTTTATTATATTTTTATATATGTTGGAAGCTGATCTTATTTTATTTTATTCTTAGACAGATTTACAAAAAGAAAAAGAAAAACACACCAATAAATACATTTTAGAATGGGGCATGATTGGATGTGGACACACGACACATTTTTTAAAAATAAAAAAATCAAGAGTCATTGCACTCTGCTGTGTGGGGCAGAGGGCCTTCTTGGTAGTGGCTCCCGCTCTGTGGAACACCATCCCATCAGATGTCAAGGAAATAAACAATTACAGTATCTGACTTTTAGAAGACATCTAAAGGCAGTCCTGTATTGGGAAGTTTTTAATATATGATGTTTTATTGTGTTTTTAATATTCTGTTGGGAGCTGCCCAGAGTGGCTGGAGGAACCCAGCCAGATGAGCGGGGTATGAACAAAAAATTGTTGTTGTTTTTGTCAAGGTAACTCTAGATGTGAGAGACATTTGACCCATGCCTAATATTTGTCGAAAACTTATTTATTTTTTTGTTGGCCATGGCATCTGACTTGTTGGCCAACATGCTTGTTAGAACTATTGGCCATGTGCTGATCAACTATAGAAGAGTTGGCTGTGGCATCACCAGAAAGCAGTTGACTTCAGAGGATTTGGTTCCTTGTGTGAAATTGAAGCCCTTTGTTTTCCAAATAGCTTCTTCCTCCTTCTGTGGTGTGTGATATGCCTTTGCTTCATTCTCCCTTCCCCAAAAAATCTCCCTGTGGCCGTTCCTTTGCACACAGAATAAAGAAAGCTCCTTTGGTTGTGGGCTCTCTGTTTTCATTGCAATTACTTGCCCCTGACCTTTCCTAAAACGTGTAAAATCACAAGGAGATCCGCATGAAAGGAATCATGTGCTGCCAGAGTACTTATCCGGGGAAGCTCATTGAAGTAGAAAGGGATTAAGAGGAGCAAGAAAGAGAGAGAGAGAGGGTCACGCCAAACCAAATTGTTGGCAAGGCTGGGATTAGAAAGCAGACAGAAATCCAAAACAAAATAGTTCGGCTTGGTTTAGGGCAGCAGCTGCAGCAAGAACTGCAACCTAAAAGTACAATCAGCCAAGAAGAAAAAAACAATTAACCAATAAAGAAGATAACAAAGCAGAGAAATCTTCTGGAAAAAGTATGTATTAAGATTGTTTTGTTGTCAACAAAGTGATAAAATGCTGATGTGTATAGGAACAAATTTGTGGGATTTGGGGATGAAGGGCAGTTTGGAGATGCATCTGCTAGAGCAGGAATGCAGAATGATCTCTTGCAAGCAGCTGCCTGACTGGAGTATTCTAATAATCAGTGCATGGAAAACTTCCCCACTTTCTTGAATGGGAAACCCATAATTGTTTTGGTTGAGCAAAGGGTTGGAGTTAGAGGGATGTGGACAGAAATATCTGGATTAAAATGGTTCTCATATGAAGCAATTTAAACTGCAATCCTTGTGTACTCAGAAATGAGTCCTAATGATTTTGCAGGGGCTTACTCCCAGGTAAGCGGGATTAGCCTATACGTCCAGTGAGGCAGGACATGCTCTAAGTACTCCGAAGTAGTGACACTGACTGCTGCTTATGATTATGATTGATGATGACGATGCAGCGATCCAAAAGACAATTGCGCTAAACTCTCCCTCAAAAATGCAAACCCTCAAAAGCAAATAAGGAGGTTTCTTTCCATTTGTGAAGGAACATCGTCTACACCAAGCAAATATAGGGCAAAAGATTAAGAAAGGGCCCCCAAATGTACGGGTGAAAAGTGTGTCATGGGTCTGAAAAGCTTGAAGATACCTCCTCTACAGCATTTCAATGCCGTCTTTCATTTTTGTTTCTTCCATTTTAGAGTTTTCATCGCTATACAGAAAAGAAGTGAGTTCACTGCATCTTGGCTCACAAGAAAGGACACTGACTTAGATCTATTTACTGTTTTTATTGTTGAATTTGGACCATCGCTATGCATCTATCCATATTGCTTCTCTTCGCCCTGCTCAGAGAAATTAGTGCTCAGTTCCCCAGGCAATGTGCTACTGTTGATGCGCTGACAAGAGGGGAATGCTGCCCAGACCTGTCTCCAGTGGTGGTTCCTGGTTCAGACAGGTGTGGGTCATCTTCTGGAAGGGGGCAGTGTGTACAAGTGACAGCCGATTCCAGACCCCATGGACCCCAGTACATGCACGATGGGCGAGATGACCGTGAACAATGGCCTCTGCGCTTCTTCAACCGAACCTGCCAGTGCAACAGGAATTTCTCTGGATACAACTGCGGAGCCTGTCGAGCTGGCTGGAGTGGACCTGCCTGTGATCAGCAGACACAAATAGGTAAAGACAATAACAAGAAAGAGGCAATATTTGTGTGTTTTGGCACAGAGGTGTCCCCCTTTTCTGATGGTTTCAGCCTTTTCAGTAGCTTAGGCTGATATTTCTCTGAAAAATTGATCCTCCATAATGATTCAGTTTTCAGAACATCTGTGAGCTCGCAAATGAAATAACACTGCATTTCAAATGCTTTGGCATCTGCCTCTCAAGATTTTCTTCACAGCAGAAGTTTTCAGTCTCTTAGAATGCAATAACCCCCTACTCGGAATTAAATCTTATTGTCTTTAGTAGACCTTACTCCTAGGCAAGTGTGTGTTGGATTTGCAACCAAAATCAGAATATAAAAGAATTAAAAATAGCATAAACAACTTTTTGGAAAGGTATGCATTATAATGTCTAGATTGGCGATTATGGGGCCAAATTCATTGCTTTGCTTAATAGCACCATACCTTTCTCTTTCTTCTGTATTAGCAAACATCCTGGGTGGGATGAGGGAAGGAAATACAACAGAGGCAATAGAATAGAATAGAATAGAATAGAATAGAATAGAATAGAATAGAATAGAATAGAATAGTTGGAAGGGATCCCAAGAGTGATCTATTCCAACCCCATGCAATACAGGAATCTCAACTAAAGCATCCATGACAGATGGCCATCCAACCTCTATTTAAAATCCTCCAAGGAAGAAGAGTCTACCACTGTCCAAGGGAGTCCATTCCACTGTCAAACATCTCTTACCATTAGAAAGTTCTTCTTCATGTCTAAGTTGGAATCTCCAATCTGTTAAAATCATCTTGAATCCTGATTCTGTCATCTGCGGCATTAACTACCGCTCCCAGTTTGGTGTCATCTACAAATTAAGAATTCAGTAATGAAATGAGGTGCTATTTGGATTGCCAGGTGGGTTTACCACCTTCACCAACAGTTCACCTTGAAGGAGTGGCAGCAACAGGTATTATTCCAATCTGAGGGGGGTTTCCAGGGAAGACATCAGTAAGAGATGCTACACTATTCTAATGGAATGGTTTTAAGAAGAGGGCAGAGATGTCCCATTATCTTGTTGTTGCCAGCGTTAGAGACATCAGTGCTATTTTTCTGGCAAAAGAGGTGCCGGAACTCACCATGAACGCTTCCCTTGTTCTCTTAAAATGGCAATGGTGTCCACCTGAGAGATGCCAGAACTGAGTTCTGGTGAGCTCCGGCTGAAAAAAAGCCCCTGAGAGATATAGTAAAAAGATTGCAGTTCCCAGATTCACATGTACAGCAGCAAGCTGTGTGGTACGTTCATTTGATCTCTCCTTCCTGGGAGGTTTTTAAGCAGAGATTGGCTGGCCATCTGTCATAGATGCTTTAGGTGAGATTCCTGCACTGCAGGGGGGTGGACTAGATGACGCTTGGGTCCCTTCAGACTCTACAATTCTATGATTTCTGAATAGATATTTTGCACTGAAATGCAATATATCCCAACTGTGCTGCCTGCTGGAGGTGCAACCAGCTTTTATGCCTGGCTGGCGGACCCCACAGAAGACTGGCCCTGCCAGTCCACCACCAGAGCACCACCCACTCACCAGGACCCTAAGTGACCCGATCAAATTTAAAATTTGGGTGGGCAATCCTGCCAACTGCTGTAGCCGACCGAGGCCAATGCAGCCCTCCCTCATTCCCCAGCAACCACACCAGGCCACAGTCGCTGCCACCAGTTATGGTAATTGGTATTTATCGCAATTAAACTTGATTGTTTTTCTTTAGCTCAAACCATTATATTATCATAACAAAACTCAGCGTTTGGGGCTGGTTCATATTATGCACGTGTAACACCTGGTGGCAGGCCAGTGTGTGAAAGCAAACCTTTAGGTGTCCCATGTCTTTTGAATTCCTGGAAGATTAATAAATTCTGGCTCACAGGATACAAACATAACTAATAACCTGAGGAGGAAACAGCTGAGTGGCCTGTGATACATAGAAATCTACTGGCACTGACAAATGCACATCTGCACCATCTGCACTGTGAATGACCAAGAGTTATGCGCTAGCCATATTCATGTAACTTTCTGCTACTCAAGACATCCATACGTGTGTTTGTGTCTGTTTGAATTGTCAGCAAAAGGGATTCCGGTGTTGAGTTATGTGTGCAGAAAGAGACTCTCTGTATCTGCCCATAGTCCACATCAGCAGAGGAATCGTGGTGAAATTTGTGTGTGCACTAAACAGATGCTTGACATGTCCCTGGTTCCTACAGTTTGCTTAAGGTAATTCCTGGATAGGAATGAAGCTCCATTGTGTAAATATGGACACTGTCCTTGAAATATTATAGATTATAGATCATCAGAAGTTACTATTTGCTTTGGCAATGGAATCTCCATCTCTTCTTAGAGTTCCAATTCCCAAATCTTGAAATCCATAATGGAAGATTAAGAGAAAACTTTGGATTTAACTCCTGTATTTATTCCTGAATAAAATACAACAATTACATCATGCTGGAGAAGCCAAGTTCTGATTCTGAAGGCTTGGGCTTCATGGATATTCCTTTTTATATTGGCAACTGATAGGCATGAATTATTGGTTTCCTTTTTATATTTCCCTTTAATCCATAATATGATGTATTTTTAACCTTTAGTCAGAAGAAACCTTCTGGATCTGAGTAATGAAGAAAGGAATCGCTTCCTAAGAGCATTGCAACAGGCCAAGAATACAATTCACCCTGACATTGTGATAGCCACAAGGAGACGTGAGGAGATATTGGGCCCTGATGGCAATACACCACAATTTGAAAATGTGTCCATTTATAATTATTTTGTGTGGTCCCATTATTACTCTGTCAGAAAGACATTTCTTGGACCAGGGCAGCAGAGCTTTGGTGGAATAGATTTCTCCCATGAAGGACCAGCTTTTCTCACCTGGCATAGATACCATCTACTACAGTTGGAGAGAGACTTGCAGGTAATGGCCTTTCTGTGATGCACATGCTATGCTAACAAGTCAAGGTGTGAACACGTTCCAAAATGTCTCCCTTTAAGGAACATCATCCCCATTCCCATCCATATAGTGAAACATTACTAGACTGGCATCATAGGAAGAAATGTCATGATTTAACAAGCTCAGGATTTCATCTGGTTTTCACCTGCAGCTCAATGTAGCTCATCATTAACCCAGGTTGTTGTTGTTGTTCATTTCATCAGGACATGCTACAGGATCCTTTCTTTGCCCTCCCCTACTGGAACTTCGCAACAGGTAGAAACACTTGTGACATTTGCACAGATGACCTCATGGGAGCAAGAAGCAATTTTGACACCACTCTGATAAGCCAAAACTCAATCTTCTCTCAGTGGCGTGTTTTGTGTGAGGAGATTGACGACTACGACACGCTGGGTACCATTTGTAACAGTAAGTCTGTGTTCTTTGGGTATACTTTGTTGTTGCTAGGCCCCTGGCCCCCAAAGAGCTAATATTTTCACAGATTCCAGGCCATTTTGCCTCCTCGTCTTCTTCCTTTGATGGCCAGAACTGGAAACAAAGAGGCAAGACAGGAGCAGTGGTGGATCTTGGGGCCTCAAGTTTCAGCAATGCCAAAATTCAGCACTCCTCCGGCCTCTTGCAATCCTTTCTAGATTATTGTTGTGGTGTCTGCTGTTGCACCCCGAGGCTTTGCTCCGAGTGTCACCAAACCAGTTGTGCTCCCCTAACAGGAGAATGGGACAGTTGCACTAGAGTTGTATTTTATTATTTACAAAGTGTAAATAAGAGTACAGGAAGCTCACCAAAAACTAATCAAGTTAACTGTGGCTGGTAAGCCAACCTCTGCCTAAGACAAGAGGCACAGTTCCTCCTTTCCTCCTTATCTGAGCTGCATCATTAAAACCAATAGGGATGTGTTCCTGTCCCATCCATTCCTGAGGCCCTGCAACTCTGACCAGGTGTTGCAGATCAGCCTCAAAGGTACCCTGTATGCTGCCTATGGCTCCTACAACCCTGTGTGATGGGTGTTAGGAAATGCCCATCACCCACCAAGATACATGAGCCTAATCAATTTCCTGCCATCTTCATTTTCCACACCTTCCTGCCCCAAATTGACTACCACACCAAGCAAATATTGACTAGATGAGTTTTATAGTTGATGCAGCAAAAAAAAGAAAATGCTTGACAGATACATATGCTTTGCTTCCATGGAACATGGTGGCCTAGGGTGTTGGTCTTCAACTGATGGGTTGGGACACATCACTGGGTCACAGACTGTTCCAGGGTGGATCAAAACAGGAACACTACCACCATGCAAATAAGTGGTAAATTATTAAGAAATGGGTACATATTTGAGTTAAAAGTGGTTCCTGGGTCTGAAATAGTTGAAGATACCTTGCCTTGGATAGCTCATTATCTTGGCATTGTTCCATATATGCTTTGTCTGATCTTAGATCAGCAGTAAAAGAGTCTAGAATCCTTTATTGGTCATTGTTGAGAGTCAGCATAATTCTCACACTATACTGACTCTGGAGCTTGGGGGTTCTCTGCTTGAGCACCAGTTCCCAGTGCCCCAAGCAGAACCTGATTTTACCACCATGGGTTGGATCCAATGCATGTGCAGAATAATTTGCACACATGCAATGGAACTTCCTATCCCAAACCTACCCCAACCTACAGGCACATGCAGAGAGAGAGAGAGAGAGAGAGAGAGAGAGAGAGAGAGGAGTGTCTGGTTGGCCACTATGAGAATAGGATGCTGAACTGGATGGGCCACTTATTCCCAGGCAAGTGTGCATATAAGATTGCAATTGACTGCAACTTTTGAGCAGGGATCATCGTGGTCAGTTACATAGGTTGGCATGGCCATAGTTCTCACTGTGATACCCGACAATGATTATTAATAGCTTAGCTCTCACTGCAGCAGAACTATTTCCAAGGCAGCAAGGCTACAGCTCTCTTATGCATGTCTGATGGTATTGCCACTGAAAAGTCTTTTGCAACGATTCAAGCGGTGCACAGAGTGGCCCTTAGCCAAAAGCCAAAGACATTGCCTGTTTTCTCTGAGTCTGACCCTCTCTTTCCTAGGCTTTGTAGTCTGCAAACACATCAAAGCTCACCCTCTTTCTGCTCCCTCCCCTTCCTTCATACGCCAGGCACAGAAGGAGGCCCAATTAGACGAAACCCTGCTGGAAATGTTGCCCGCCCAATGGTGCAGCGCCTGCCTGAGCCACAGGATGTTGCTCTTTGCTTAGAAGTCGGATTGTTCGATACGCCTCCGTTCTATTCAAATTCAACAGACAGCTTTCGTAATACAGTGGAAGGCAAGTAATTCTCAAATAAAAGGTCTGAAACCAGAGGGACGTGGAGCTCGCCGTACTCACCGAGTTTGCACAGGGTGAAAAGTAGTCAAGTTATTTTGCAAGAGAAAGAATCTATTTAGCAAACCATCTTTTTTTATATACCAATACATCATTATGTGAGGAAAGTATTCTCAAGATCTGGAAGTCAGATTGGGTGAAATGGGGACCCCGGTGTATCGTTTATGTTTTCATAAACTGGAACAGGTTATAATAATGTACATTTCATTCCTTCCTTCATTAATTAATAGAATATTTATAAACCACCAACTATCACGCCAGTTTCATTGTGATCACAAAAACATCATAAAATTGCAAATGCATATTTTTGTTCTTGTCCTAAATGCAAGACTTACATTCTGACCTAGATAGTACTGATCTGGACGGACCAAGGTTCTTACTCATATGTGAGTCAGTTTCTTATGTTCCCCTGACATTTACAGAGAGAGATGCATGGGGAAATATTGCTGTACTATATTTGTTTAAATATAAAGCCAATGCAGAATTTAACATTTAATTCTGTTCAGCCCAGTTTGAGCTCTTGGCCTCACTGCAGAAGAAGGCAGAATATTCCCCACCTAATTATTTCAGTTCTTCTGATGACCAAGATTCTGACATTACAAGAATTTGTTTAGTGGTGCTGGAGAATCAGCGCTGAGAATTTCTGGGCTCCCTGAAGCAGAAGGTCCTTCTCCAAAGTCAATCTGCTGGCAGCCATTCAGGAAAAGACATGTGGGGAGCTGGAGGAACAGCTGGCCCATTAGGATACATAAGAACATCTTGACACTTGTGTCGACGGCTAGAAAATGCACGTGGTGGTTTCAATTATGTTTGCTGCCATTCCGACCCAGAAGCTGCCGCTGTAGCTCAGTGCAAGACAGATTTGTGTTTGTGTTTCACCACCAACGTGCAACATTCCACTTTGCTTGCGCAACAAACCCACGAGCAAGCAAATCACTTTGTATTCATAGAGTATCATTATTTAATCTCAAAGTTGAGTGTCCCGAGGAAATAGCAATCGTGTGCATTTGAAAGAGTCTGTGATATGCAAGGAGCAATGCCATTTATTTAAAGAAGTCAAGAGAGTGGTCCAAAATCATGGCAAACTGAATTATAACCAGCTGCTTTAATCTCACTGCTGTTTCCAATTTACACCTCTTCTTTATTCTTACGCGCAGGTTACAGCGACCCTTCGGGGAAGTACAATCCAGCCGTACGTAGCCTTCACAATCTGGCCCATCTGTTTTTGAACGGCACGGGAGGGCAAACCCATTTGTCCCCAAATGATCCCATTTTTGTCCTCCTGCACACATTCACCGACGCTCTTTTTGACGAATGGTTGAGAAGGCATAATCCTGGTGAGTTCTTGTGGTTCACATTATTTAACCTTCAGGCAAAGAGAACAATTTGCCCACTGCCCGAGTCCCACTCAGCAAAGTGGGTGAGATGCAAAGGACAGGCTTCTGTTCCCACTTGCACAAACAAGCTGCTATGATCCCCTTGCAACAACACAGCCCTTTCAGAGGCCTGGGCTTGAGGATCAGGGGCACAATCACATCCTTTTACTCCTGTCTTCAGAAGCAGAATAATATTTAGCCAAAGAAGGAGCTATTGTCTTGGTTGATGATGCAGGATAAATTACACCCAGGGATCACAAGATCTTAATGGAGTTTCCCCAGGTCAGTTGACCGGAACAGCAGAAATAGTTACATACTCTTTTCTAATTGCATAAATTCACAAATCACACACTGCTGCCCTTCATTCTCTACCTCTCTTGCAAAAAAAGAAGAGGGGAAAAGGATAAATCAAACAATGTACTTGCTGTCACAGGGTATATATTTGCATATAGTCTTAAAAAAAATCCTCTAGCCATTTTTGTGCGTGTCTTACAATAAGTCAAGTGGCAATTCTGGCAAGTTCAAAAGAGCTGTTTGTTACTGCTGTAAAATCACATAAGTTCGTGTCATGTTCCCCTAACAAATACAAAAGAAAAGCAGATGGCATGGCAGGAGGCAGCCAGTCTCTCTGGGTTTCTGGGCAAAGAAAGAGCAAAAGGAAGGAGAACAGAGAAGAAGCAAACATACAGGGCTTCAGAGTATGTTTTTCGACTGCATTTGCAGGGGTTGACTCTAAGGGTGCTCAGAAGCTTATCAGGAAATTCAATTGTTGATGGATAAACATCCTTGACCAATTGCTTGTCCACCTTTGCTGATCTCCTCCTGCACCTCCTGCAATGAAAAGTCACGGGAAAATGTTCGGCATGAGCCCTCTCTCTGCTTCTGTGAGGGTAACAATGAGGTTAGAAGGACATCACTGGTGTCCCCTGCAAGGATGTCCCAGATTGCTTATTTATTACATTTGTTGGTCACCTGACATGGAAGCCTCAGGGAGAAGGGTCACCAACCCATCACCTATGGGTGCCAATGTACTTCTAATGGCACTCATGAATGGTGTCAGCAAATAGCCTCTCAAGAATCCACAGTGCATGAGAGACTGTTTGCTCTTCCTGCTCAGTTCCTGTTTGCATTTTCTTAACCCCACCGGCATTGAACACGTTGCCTTAAAGATGACCAGCCCAGTGTACATTGAATGCCAGGACTGGACAACCTTTCATTATGAACAAGAGAGAAGTGTAAAGAGCTTCACTCTGCTTGTGGACTGTTTCATCGTCTTCCCATTAATCATTCATTCATCCCACACTTTTCATTCCCCTCGCTTTCCAAACTGCAAAAACTTGGGTGTAGGAATGCTTTTGTTCTGCTAGGGTAACAAAACACTTCAACCAACTCTAATGGCACAAATCTACAGTTCTGGTACGCACTTAAAATCCCTATTGCAAAATATTGACAGTCTGGAGGCACCCTAATTGTTTGTAATCTGGGAGTGGCCACAAAGACTCCATGTGAATTTTGTTATCTTTACCAAGTTTCTGAAACTGAACAAGCAAAACATTTCCCCCCCTTTAGATATCTCGATCTACCCACTAGAGAATGCCCCCATTGGACATAACAGACGGTACAACATGGTACCATTCTGGCCCCCCGTGGCCAACAATGAGATGTTTGTTACAGCACCAGGAAATCTGGGATACAGTTATGAAGTTCAGTGGCCAAGTAAGTTATTAAGCCTCTCCTTTTCATTACATAACTCTTTCTTCTTTTCTGTTCAAGTGGTTCAAATTTTGATTTACTATTTACAAATATTATGTGCATGAAATAGCTATTAAGGGCTGTGCTCCTTTCCATGGCTGCTTAAACTTGAACTGTATCTAATTTGAAGCCTAACAGAAATCACTGGTTTTTCAATCTATGTAGTTTGCTTCACCTGCTTTAATGAACAAAGAAACATTGAGGGGGAAATGCACATTTTTGGTATCATCAAATGATAACACTGAATATTCAGGATTCAACAACTGAGTCAATGGAGCAAAGAAAGCAATAAAAAACAAGTGTGATCCAAAAAGACACTATCAGAGGAGTAGATTGGTTCCTTAGTTTGCCCTTGCTTTCCCCATGTTTACAATTCAGAAATAATTCATGCTCTTTTCTAAGGAAGGTCAGTTTGGATATATTAATGCACAAATTCTGAATACATAGCCTAATGATAGTCTATTAAAAAAGAAGTTTCCCTGTTCTGATTTACAGAGGAAATAATTCAGGTTGCATGAGTTGAATTAAGTCCCTCAGAAACCCACCATCACACAGTTCTTGAATTGCTGTGGAACTTCGTATTAGACAGAAAGAAGTACTTCAATAATAATAATAATAATAATAATAATAATAATAATAATTTTATTAAGACTATTACAATGAGATAAAGTAAAAGAAAGAAATGTATAAAACATTTTTAAAGTTGCAATCAACAGCAACTTGAAATGACTGGGACTTGTTATTATTGATAATCTCTAAAAAGAATATTCAAATGGATTAGACTTTTAGCTACATCCAGTGATGTAGCGTGGATTCTCAGCATCTGGGGTGTGCAGTCTGAGTCAGCGGCGGGTGAGGTGAGGGAGAAAGAGGCTCAAAACCGCCCCTCGATGAGGGCAGATCTGAGGACTGAGGCACCCCATTTGCAAAGGAGGCAGCGGCTACCGGAGCCTCTTGCCTCTCCTTGGTGGGTGGCAGCAGCGCCCTCCGTCTCCCTTGACTGGCCCAGGGGTGGGGCATGTGCAGATGTCCCTTCACCATCCACAAGGGGGGGAATGTGCTGCCCCAGCCCAGGTGTGAATTAGAAGATTGAGGGGGCCTGGTGTGAGGGGGCCTGCTTGCACCCCCTCACACCCTTTCACAAATCTGCACCAGGGCCATGACCCCCCTGACCCTCTCCGTCTACATCACTCAAGACTTTAACCCTGTGTGCCCTTCCTTCTGTTTCTTTCTAGCTCGGGCTCTCCAAGTCACGGAAATCATCACTATTGCCATTGTCACTGCCTTGATCCTAGTTGCAATTATATTCGCTGCTGCCACTTGCATTGTCCGTGCCAGGAGAAACAAGGATGATCTTCATCAGCCGCTTCTCACGGACCAGTACCAGACCTACTCAGACGATTATGATAGCATACCAACCCCAAGCCACTCTATGGTGTGAAGTGTCAGCAGTTTATCTGCACTCTGTAGCATTTGCTCTTTCTGATCTGATTCACAATAAAGAACATGAAGAGTGACAAAGCCTTCCTTAGATTTCATCTTGCCAGGGAAACCTTGAGTCACTTGTGTTAGACTGGCTCAAAATTTCCCTCAAGTTCACTCGCTTCACTCCTTAGCCACCTACCTATGAAATAAACGTCCTGTACATCCATATTGTCAGAGTCTGATGATGAACATTTTCCGCTAGTAGCTGAGTTGTAGCTTATTAATTGCAGCTTCTTCCATTTAGCTTTCTTCTTCTTCTTCTTCTTCTTCTTCTTCCTCATCATTCTAATTCTTTGCCTCTGCATAGGCAGAATTAAGCTGAAAAGAAAGGATGGCTTTTCCGAACATTTTCAGCATCTTCTAAAAGGACCCAGTCTTTCAACAATTTGTTGTGGATTAATTGAAAAGGAGACAAAAGTGTTCCCTTGTCTAGGAAATGTTCTCCACAGTGGACTTCGTTTGTCCACAGTGATTCTTGATTGGCCAAGATCACCCATGTGACCAATCTAGAAAGCATTGCTTCCATTCAAAACAGGCTTAGTTTCCCTCAAGTGAAATCAGCTTGTGATTAATTCTTATTGGCTATATTGGCTATATATCATTGTGATGTAATTGTACCCACTCCGTGAATTGTAAATGCCAACGATGGCACAGAATCAGGGGCACATAGGTGAAAGGATGAACTGTAAATGCCTAAGATGGCACAGAGTGGTGGGACGTGGGTGGCGCCGTGGGTTAAACCACAGAGCCTAGGACTTGCCAATCAGAAGGTCGGCGGTTCGAATCCCTGCGATGGGGTGAGCTCCCGTTGCTCGGTTCCTGCTCCTGCCAACCTAGCAGTTCGAAAGCACGTCAAAGTGCAAGTAGATAAATAGGTACCGCTCCGGCAGGAAGGTAAATGGTGTTTCCGTGTGCTGCTCTGGTTCGCCAGAAGTGGCTTAGTCATGCTGGCCACATGACCCGGAAGCTGTACACCAGCTCCCTCGGCCAATAAAGCGAGATGAGCGCCGCAACCCCAGAGTTGGTCACGACTGGACCTAATGGTCAGGGTTCCCTTTACCTTTAGGCTTGACAACCATATGTCAGGAGTGCTCTGATGGTGTTTCCTGCTTGGCAGGGGGTTGGACTCGATGGCCTTTGTGGTCTCTTCCAACTCTATGATTCTAAGATGGCACAGAAGCAGTGGCACATAGGTGAAAGGTTGGTGCTGAAGAATTTGCTGGGGGCTGGGGTGGAGAATACACCATGAAGGGCCCCCCCCCAAAAAAAAAACATTTACACATTTCTCAAACAGTAGTTTCAACTCTAAAATAAAAATGTGCAAATTTTCAGTTCTCCTACTCCAAATGTGGAAATTTTCAGACCTCCTACCCAAACACACGATAGAGCTCAGTTGGTAGAGCATGAAATTTTTAATCTCAGGGTCATGGGTTCAAGCCCTAGGTTGGGCAAAAGATCCCTGCATTGCAGGGAGTTGGACCAAATGACTCTTGTGGTACCTTCCAACTGTATGATTAGATGGCAGCCAGATGCAAAAGAAATCAGATGTCTTGCATCTTTGATAGTTGTATAAATTTCAGATGGTGCAGCTCTTTTGCACTGATGCCATGCCTCTACTTTTACACTCAAGAATCTGTTCTCCTTGCTATGAGTTTCCCCCCAGCACTTTGTTCTGAAACAGTCTGCAGCTTATGTCTACATGCAGCTTATATCATTTATTAACTTATATCCTTGAGTAACATAGGAGGTTCTTATGAAAGAAATATAGGTCATTTGATTCATTTTCATATACGCAGAAAAAACGTTCCCATCATTTGCACATCAATTTAAATGAAGGGCTAAAAGAATTGCATGAGAGGGCCAGGAGATGGCAGTGCTAGAAGCAATTAAATTCTTCCTCGCTAGGGGGAAAAAAGCTGATCTATTTCTTAGAAATCTGATGTGTGAAAGGGAATCACGTCCAAATTCCCATTCAATATTTGGAACGATTTTCAGACAAAAGACTTGAACGTTTCATTTTTAAAAAGACACCGTTGTAATATGTGCTGTAGTTTTGAATAATCACAGATTATTTGAATAATATTTAGCTCAGTCCGTAAAGCATGAGACTCTTAATCTCAGGGTCAAGGGTTCAAGTTCCACATTGGATGAAAGATTCCTGCATTGCAAGGGGGTGGATTAGATGACCCTGTGGTCTATTCCAATTCTACAGTTCTGTGATACTATGACATTTCAGTTGTTTGAGGCTGCCACGAGGTGCAGCATGAGTGGCAGGAACGCAGGACTGGGTAAGGGTGGTGGCGTTGGTAGCAAAGGCTGACTCACGGTCAAGGTGCTGCAGGCACATGCTGGGACGGGGCCAAGGTTAAGGCAGTCCAAAGTTGCCGGCAAACGATCAACCCAAGTCCCATCTCAGGCCGCAAGCAAGTGGTAGTCTGAGTAGCCAACAACAATTTATTATTTATATCCCGCCCATCTCGCTGCCCCTCTGGGCAGCTTCCAACAAAAGATTAAAAATACATTAAAACATCAGTCATTAAAAACTTCCCTAAACAGGACTGCCTTCAGATGTCTTCTAAATGTCAGATAGTTATTTATTTCCTTGACATCTGATGGGAGGGCATTCCACAGGGCAGGCGCCACCACCGAGAAGGCCCTCTGCCTGGTTCCCTGTAACCCTGCTTCTCACAGTGAGGTAACCGCCAGAAGGCCCTCGGCACTGGACCTCAGTGTCCTAATGCACAAAGGAGCTGAATACTTGTTAGGTTTTATCCAGTGCTTTTTTTTCTGGGGGGTGCAGTGGGACACATACCCCTAAACATTTTGTGAGTCTAAGTTTGGCCTCACTGAAGGGCAGTATTTCAATATGAGTAGGAAAATGAGAGTACCTCAAACAATTTTTTAGGGAAAAAAGTACAGTGATACCTCGGGTTAAGAATTTAATTTGTTCTGGAGGTCAGTTCTTAACCTGAAACTGTTCTTAACTTGAAGTACCACTTTAGCTAATGGGGCCTCCCGCCGCCGCCACATGATTTCTGTTCTCATCCTGAAGCAAAGTTCTCAACCCAAGGTACTATTTCTGGGTTAGTCTGTAACCTGAAGCATCTGTAACCCGAGGTACCACTGTACTGTTTTTATCTATTTCATTAGCTGTTTTGAACCTGTTAGGTTACACCCACACCCACACACGCTTACCTGAGAAGAGCTGCCATGAAACTCAGTGGCATTTACTTCTGAGTAGACATGCTGATGATGACATTGTGAATATGCTATTACCAGGGCAGCCCTAATTGCCATGTAGTCAGTGTATTTTACAGTGAATGGCTAAAGAGCCTACTAAGAGTTGTCTAGTTCGTCCTAGTTTGAAACCCCAGGTTTGGTTGAACAATGCGTTTTTAAGCAGAAAAAATGATTACACTATTCATAGAATCAGAGAGCTGGAAGGGACCCAATGGTCATCTAGTCCATCCCCTGCAATGCAGGAATCTCAGCTAAAGCATCCATGACAGATGGCCATCCAACCTCTGCTTAAAAACATCCAAGGAAGGAGAGTCCACAACCTCCTGAGTGAGGCTGCCAACTCAAGTTCTTCCTGATGTTTAGTCAGACTCTCCTTTCTTGTAACTTGATGCTCTTGGTTCGAGTCCTACCCTCCAGAGCAGGAGAAAACAAGTTGACTACATCTTCCTTCTTCTTTTTTTCTTTCTTTTTCATTTCAGGAACGGGGGAAAAAAGGTTTGCTTAATCCTAGACAACAAGTCATTGGAATAAGGTTTTGCTTTTCCGAAATATGATTCAGGTGCCTTGCCTCATTTCAGGGTAAACGTTGCCATTAAACCAAACATATTCTTATATTGCAGCACTGAAAATTGCAAAGGCTCTTGAGAAAGACGTACGCAGAACACACAAATCTGCAGCGGTGCAACGTATACACCATAATGATGTGCTGGTTGATGCTTGCACTGTGTTGGAAGCCAAATAAAAATGTAATCTTTTGCATTATTTGCTTTTTTTCATGATGTTCTTGATTCCAAAGCACCAGATTCCACCAGTCTGATGTCAATAAAAAGTCAAAGAGCACAGCTCGTTTTTAAATACCACAAACTTTTCTCCGTCCCGCCCAAAGGAATTTGAGAGGCTTGCAAATAAATCATTTGCTCATTAAGCATTGCTCTGGCAAGTAGAGTCCTCTTGTGTGTTCTTTGGGTTCTCATGGATTGTGATGTATAATTGCTGTAGTCAGTTTATGCATTGATGACATCATTTCCCAATCTCTCTTTTCTATCTCTCTCTCTCTGATGTAAATTTAACTATTTCACAGACAGCACTATGCAAAGCTATCTCAAATAGAGATGGATGAGGTCCCCTCGGGGTTGATTTGGGTTGGGACAAAAGTGCAGAAGGAAACAAGGGTGGCAGTGGAAGTCCTACAATTAAAATCCAAGCTGGAAAATAACTTGGGCGTCTTTATGCTTGCATTATTTTTATTACAAGTTGCAGAGATTTGTATTTTGAAGCCAATGAATGATGACGCTTGGTGACATCTCTAGCCATTCATGAGGCTTGGCTTCTTTTTTCACATGCATTGAAAAAAATGCTTGTTTTCTGAAAGGCAAGCTAAGAACATAGCAGAGGTATGACGGCAGGGACATATAAAAAAAACATGAAATACTGGCATGGAGAACAGATCTGACTATGAGATGGATGATCAAAAGGGAATGCAGTTCATGGATTTAGAATAGGCAAGGACCTGGACAGCATTTATATTTCTTGGAAGCCCACTTTGAGAAGGGGCCAAAGTAAATAAGCTGAGATTTAATCTTTAACCACAAGTGTTACTTCCCCCCAAACTTCTCTGGTGGGAGGGCAAACTGTGGGTTGATTCTAGTACAGGGACCATAAGTTTCTGACCTCAAGTATAGACCAACAGTCATTTAATAAGAGTTGAAGGGCTCCCAGGGCAACCAGGTAACTGAGAAAAGAAACAAAGGACTCTTGTAGCTTTAATGTTTGCATAAGATACGAAAATTTGGCAGGTGTAACCAGACCAGAGCTGGAACATCTTTGGAGGACTTTTCAAGCTCAAATTGATCTGGGGGCTGGGAGGAGAAGAACTGATACATTTTGGTGCCTGACACAATGGACAAGATGGTGCCCCCTCTCCCTTACATGTTCAGAATCTGACCAGACTTGAACTTGGTTCTTTCTTCAGTACTGATGATGGGGCATCTTCCCCTCTACCTGAGGGCAACAGGCCAGTTCATCAGAGGTAGAGAACTTGTGGGCAGGTAGAGAACTTTGTGGGCACGATGGGATAAGCTGTTCTTCAGCAGCTCCCCCCCCCCCAATGCAGCTACTTCGCTCTTCAGAGATGACCCTGGAAGTCACAAAACTGCCCACGTGCCCTTTTCACCTCCCTGCTTATGTAACCCTTGCAGCAATTGGAAGCTTTCATGCTCCCTCTCAAATGTACATTTTCCAGCGTTCCCTGTGAAGTGGGATCATAGGCACTGGCGGAGGAAGAGGAGTGCGGGGGGAGCAGCGCGATCCCGGTAGGGTGTCATCATGGCTGCCCCCCGCCCTGCCCCTGGGACATGTGGCAGCCCCACCCCCACCTGCTCTCCACCCCCCCCCCGGTGCCGAAGCATGAAGCTCCACCACTGATCATAGGAGCCAACTCCTAGGGGCTGAGGTTCCTTCGGAGGGACAATAAAATATTTTAGGTGGCTACCACCCAAAAAAGTTAATGGGCATTCAAATGGTGTGTGTGCACCCCATCATATGATTGCTTATGCAGGGTGGAGCTTACCTGGGCCTGATGGGAACTGATTGTTGGAGATGCAACTGGCCTGAGTTGAACAAAACATGCCTGCCACTGCCACCGTGTGCAGTTTGAGCCTGAGTCTTCAAAAGCCTATTCCTCAAGCTATGCAAGACCTGTAATTTCTATAAATGCATATTATGAGTTGTGTGCTTTAAAGAGCAATGAACTAACTATATAATTTGGCAACTTTCAAAGGCAGACCTAGGCCCTGTAATAATACTGGAATCGGTAACAGAAATGATATGTTTGGAGGGTGTAAAATGATTACTCCCTTAGGTGCAGTACTAAAATACTTATTTGGTCCATTTAGCAAGTACAAATAACAGCTGCTCGATACAAGATATGGTTTATGGAATGCAGCACAACTGAGTGAAAAGATAGGCCTTCAGGGCAGTTATGGAGAAGAAATTCTTTTGCATGCATTGTCTGGTTCTGATCATCCTAAAACTAGATGTTATGTTGGGACCATTCCAATGTTCACTGAGTCCAGCCTTCCTTGATGAAGCTGTAGCCAGGCCAAAATCGATTCCCCATTGCTTAAACAGCAAAGGCTAACTAGAAGGGCTTTCCCCTTCACTCCTCACTTCTATCCCTATGGCAAAATATAATAGGAACTGTCCTATTACAAGGCCATTAAAGGGGGGGGGCTTTGAGAGCTCATTTGTTCCCATGGGATTTTTCATATATAGCTCTGTGTGTGTGTGTGTGTGTGTGTGTGTGTGTGTGTGTGTATATATATATATATATCACCATGATGCAACCGATCAATGATGCAACTCACTTGAGGTCAAAGAAAACTTTAACTTGTTAAGTTTGGATGTGCATCTGAAGTCCTGGGCATTTGTCCAAACCACGAATGAAAGGAGACAGTATGTGTTGTTGTTTTTTAAGCATACATGAAATCTACAACTTTTAATTTATAGTTCCTAAGAGAATTGTAGTAATATAGGCCATTCGAGTGTGCAAAATACATGTTGTCGGGGCACATTTAGTTTGTCCTTTGGATAGATACATTTTCTAAACACCACAAAATGCTCTGTGATTACATATGCTTCCAAAATAACTCTCTCTAATGTCATTATATCTAAAATGAAGGGCTTTATAAGCAGTTTAGGGCATATATTATCTTTGTTCAACTCAGGGGGTGGGAGTGAGGGACTTCATCAACACAGAAGAAAAGACATGGGATGGTTCGAAGAAATTTATTATTATTATTATTATTATTATTATTATTACTACTACTACTACTACTACTACTTTATTTATACCCCGCCCATCTGGCTGGGTTTCCCAGCCACACTGAGCAGCTATACTACATATAAAAAC